GCTCTTTTTCATACTTACAGAAGCTAAACTAAAACAAAGCTTTTTTTGTTTTTACCAATACAATTTCTTGTGTTTTTCTGCTGCTAGGCTTTTTTAACATTTTGAGACAGGGCCTTGTTACATAGTTCATGCTGGCCTTGAACTCGCTATATAACCCAGGCTGACCTCAAACTCACAGTGACCCTCCTTCCTCAGCCTCTGAGTGCTGGGATTACAGATGTGCACCACAGCACCTGGCATGCTCTTAGGCTTTTGATTACTTTTAAAATCTGATTTTAAGAGTTAAGTTTTATTTAAATGGTTGACTGTTTTAAAATCTTTGCAGCGATTAGTTTATAATTGGTTAAATATCTTAGGGACTATATGTGTGTACATATGAGGATAAAATATACTGCCAGTATGAGCTTATCTAAGTTAAAAATAACGATCTCATTTGAGGCCAGCCTGGGCTACACAGTGAGTTCAGGGCCTGCCTGAACTACAAAGAGAAACCTTGCCTCAAAAAAATCAAAAATCCATAAAACCAAAAAAAAAGCTCTCTTTTATACTATATTACATCTGACACAAACATAGAAATTTCACTGTAATTTAAAGAGATAAAGAAAATGTAATGGTCTTGTGATCTTGGCACAGTAAGATCAAAATTATTATTCTAAAATGGTACCATAGAACCTACTGTATTTAGTTGGCATATGAGTAAGGCATCTAGCTAGGGCCAGAGATAGTGGAGCTTTCAACCATATTAAAGTGAATTAAAATAAGGATAGTAAACTAGGACTGGGACCAGGAATGAACATTCCTCAGGCAACAAGGAATGTAGCCCCTTCCTTTTACAGTAGGCCACCACCTACTAAGTTCCTGAGTTTGAGGAATTTAAAATGCAATTAACTTCTTCTATAACATGGAATGCAGCCCACCCCTTCCTAAAGAGTCATGCCCTCCTAAATTCCTGAGCTCTAAGGAAGTTATAATGCAAAATAACCAGTTTTCTTTCCAAAATCTCAGTTTACTGCAAACACCATGTAAAACAACTAGGGCAGGGAGCATGGATTCCCATTGGTCATTTTTTAACTTCAGAGACACTCATGATAGTGTCCACTAAACAATTAAGTAATTCTGTGCCTTGTCTACCTATTTGTGATTCTAAATTGAAGTGACATGTGGCAATCCTGTCAGGACCCCACCTGAAATTCAGAAGAATTTTTCTTCCTTATTTCCAATTAAACTTTATTAACCTCCTTCTTTTGTTCCTGACTACATTCTTCAGTGTTTTATGAAACCACAAGCCCAGGGAACAGGGTAACACTATGTTTGCTCTTGTTACTTTGATTTTACATGTTTCCTGTAAAAGTTCATGACTGCTACCTGTTACGTAGCTATCTTTGATTCTACAAGAATGTGAATTCTAACAGTCTAAAATAAACAGTATGTGTAGGCCATCACCTGCTTTTATTTTAAAGTGCCCTGATGTCCAAAAAAGGTTATAATAATTTAGATTAAGACCTGCTGCTCCCACTTCAAGACTAGTATAACTGACCTTCTGGATAGTCAGCAACTGAGTTTTAGAGACCACAGCTAAACAAGATAAAAGGGGTAAACCAACAGATTTGTCCCTTGCTCTCCAAGGTCAGCCAGTACCTAGGACAGGACAGGACCCTTCAGAAAAGGTCCTGCAACCCAAGTAAGTCAGCAACCTCCTGAGCAGGGTATTGCTGGACCCAGGGGACAGGAGTCAACCAATGTATAGTCTACAAAAAGGAGGGTCACTAACAAGGGAAATGTTTCCTATGCTTCCAAGAGAAGCCATATGGTTAAGCAAGACTGTGATCCATTCTAGCAGATAACAGACCTGATAGAGGAGAAAACTAGAGGAGCTAAGGGCACTCCACACAGCCCAAAAGTAACCCCTGAAGAGTTGAATGGATCTTCCCAAATAAATATAGATACATTTTAATTAATACAGATTTTCCTTTGACTTGGTCTTAAGCACAGAGCAGGAAAGTATAACTGAGACAGGAAGATGCAGCATGTCTAAAACTGGTTGGGAAAGGAGGTGTGATGAAACCCCTGAACACTTACACAGAACTATTCCCAAAGCCCTGCAGGTGGGATTCTCAGGAGAACTTGAGCAGGTTTTTGATAGGATGACCAGGACGTGACACTGGCATGGAGAATATAAAAAGGGACTATCGCTATCAAGTGTTTGTTATTGTAGGTTTGCTATTGTGTCTCTTCATGGTAGTCCACTCTACACTATAAGGTGTATTTTGTTTTTCTCCTTTTTCCTACTTTTACGTGGCCCAAACTCACACTGCTGAGCCTTTTCTTTTAAGCTAAAGATCACCTCTAAAAGGAGACTCCAGCATCCCAAAGCCCAGTAACACACCCAAAAAGTAAACTAATAGTAATATAAACAGAGCTATACTATATACAAAAGAATTTTCAAACAGATATCCAGTCACACCTGTAACATTTTAATCGACAGCCATAAAGAGTCTAAACTCTCAGCCCCATTAGCCTTTCCAAAATGTGTCCTTCAGCCTGCTGTAGTGTATTCTCAAGTATCCCTTGGGTAAAAATTTGGATTTTTCTTTCTACGTAGGTCTGCCTATAAGATAAAAATGCCAATACAGTCTACCTACTAGACATTAGTGCTTTTGTAGTGAAAATTAACTCTCTGTTTATGTGCTTCAGGTTTATATGTTTGTCATCTAGAGCCAGTCACCCTGAAGAACTTTAAATCTACAAAGTAGATGCCAATCCCACATCATTATATCTAAATGACATATATAGAATCCTTATTGCTTCCTTATCTAAAGCTAAAGGCCGGATGAAGTCCTCTTGTTAACACTGCAACTGTAAATGTAATACTTTCAAGCACAATAAAGGTGCTTAAGGAAAATGTGCAAAATGCTCAATAATCCAAGAAAAAGACATTCTCTAGATAATTGCATTTGCTGCCTAGACCTTTGTTCCATATCCTCAAACCCTCATAAAAATCCCAACCTCTCACCCTGACTGCTCAATGTCTGGCTTGGAGACTTGCCCACTGTTGCCCTGGGCAGCAAACTATACCCAAAATAAACTCTTATCTTTTCTCCGTTCCTTGTCCATTAGTAAATTCTTTTACCAGCCCACTCAGGAACCTACCCAAGCCTTCTCCCATGGGACACTGCCTTTCCCCAAATCAACAAATACCTCTTCCTCCCCAGAGTGGGGGACGGGCTGGTCATAGCCCTGTGGCTCTCAGTGGCCTCCTGGACATCACTAACCACTTGTTATGTGCCTGTCATACAGCTGGGAAGGAGAAAGGGAGACTTAGGCCTCTGGCTTTTTTGTTTGTTTTGTTTTACATAATAAGGCTCAACCTAAGTGTAATTTATCACTGAGGTACATCCGTAGTCCTTTTTAAAATTATTTCTCCTTTTGAGACAGGGTCTCCCAAAATTGCCCAAGCTGGCTTCACACTCACAATGCTCCTCCTCGGGCTCCCAGTCCAACTCCCTCAGGCAGTTGGGACTGCATCTATGCAGCACAGAGCCCTGAGTCTGCTCTCCCACTTTCCTGTGCATCTCCTGGAGAAAAGCAAAACAGAAAGTAGAAAGCACAGCCATTTCTCAACAAGCCTGGTCTTGCTGGAAACCACACGTACCTGCTGTCCTGTGTCTGCAGCAGCCAGCCAGACCCGATTTAGCAATCTATTTCTGTCTGTGCTGCCAGGCCCTCTAGGTTTTCCCCTGGGTAAGGGCCAAGACTGCCCACCTGCTTTGGTCTCAGTCCCTGAGCAGCCAGCTACTTACAGCCTCCTGGCCTGCTGGACACCACACCGTCTGAGAGGTGAGGACAGAAACAAGTGTCTTCTTCTCTCTCTCTGGGGAAGAAGAAGGAGAGACAGCAGCAGGTAGGGGCGGGAGGGCTGCTGCTGGGCTCCAGAAGATGAGGTGCCCAAAGGTTGACTCCAGGTGCCTCATTCAGAAAATAGAATTGTCCTCAGGGAAATGGGGCTCAAACCCCAGGCACTCCAAGACTCTGTGAGCTTGGGAAGGGTCTCAGTCCTGCTCCTTATGTAGGAATCCTGGCAGGAACATCACCCTTTCCCATGCCTCTCTTGGGAGAAGATTTTTTTGCTTACAATTTTTTTTTCCTTTGCAGAAAACATTTTTGATTCTGTCAATAATTGTGAAGACACAGAAACTGTGTAACAGTTTTCCTGGTTATTTCATAGAAACAAGCAGAGAAACTTTTATCAGTGGGTTAAATTTCTAGACAGAGCAGAACTGGCGAGTGGTAGAGAGAGGCTTTGAATCCACTTCACTGTGCTCTGCCTAGGCTAATGAGAAGGTCTGTTTTGCCCTGCTGGGAGGTCTGACAGCCACTCTTCCCACCCAGGACACCTGGCCAGTCTGAACATGGAGAAGAGCAGAGACACCCCTCTGAATGTTGCAACAACAGAGACATCTCCAGTCCGCCGGTATGGTCACAGCTCCTATTCATCCAGCTCACGACCAGGTAAAGCAGAATATAGTGATGCCTTTGTACTGGTAGGAGAAAAAGTGAAAGGCGAATGGACTTAGAGGTAAAAAAAATAGAAGGATTGAGTAGGGGGATGCTACACAGTGGTAGACCGGTAGCCTAGCACCCACAAGGCCCAGAGTTCCATCACACACACACACACACACACACACACACACACACACACATTGGAACATACAAAGACATGCCAGTCATATTTTACAATTTTCTTTGGGCTCCAAGATGTGATTCCAGGTTGTTCCAGAGCCACACACTCTTCCAAGTCTTACTGCTTTCTCCTCTTACTGAGCTCTACCTGTTGGATGCTCCAGGGCTCAGGCCTTGGTCTGCTTTTTGCTGCTAATATTCCTCTTCACTGAGGGCTCTCAACTGGTCCACGACTTTAACTGCTTCCTGTACTGACAGCTGTAGAGTTCAATCCACAGCAGAATGGGACTCATCTACTCACTGCCTACTCCACATCACCCAGATTTCTGTCAGACTCAATGCACCCCATGCAAAGTGCTATCAGAGCCCATGTTACACACAACCTGCTTAAGAGATCCTCGGGCCTTCCCATCCCAGTACACGGATCCTCACTGTGACAGATTTTTGGGCCCCAGAACTTGAAGATGTTCTTGAATCTTCCTCTTACACCCCCTATCCACTGGGGAAATCTATGTGTTCCTTAATGCCCTGCCTGTCACTATGGCCACCTAGTCCAAGCTGCTACCTCACTTGCTCCAATGACTCCCATATTCCAAACTGGTGCCCTTGCTTCCTCACTTGCAATTCTGAAATAAGAAGAACTATACACATTGGTCTCTGTCCCAGGTTCCTGACATTGAGCTTCTGACACCCTTACAGACAGAGGCACTATAATGTCATTTTATTCTAATATTTGATCTTTGATCCCAGTTTTCAACAACGCTTCAGATATTTATAATTCCTATGCAATAGAAGAATCTGGCACAGAGCTCTTTTTCTCTCGGAATTTCCTGAAATAAAAGAATTCAGTTCTGACACTATCTTCCTCATCCACATGACTATCCTTCTGCACACACCAGTCACACCTGCACAATTCTTGGATGTGAGAGGTGGGAGCATCTTTCATCCCAGTGAGGCAGCTCTGTGTTGAATTCCTGGCTTGGAGGCTCATAACCCCGAAGGACCAAGCCACAATTTGAAGCTTGGAACTTTCAGCTCCCCCAGAGCTCCCCTCATTCTCTGGCAATTGGAGAGGGGCTAAAGAGGGAACTGATGACTACTGCTGCCGGTGTAATACCGCCTCCACAAAAATCTCTAAATTCAGGGGGTTGGAGAGCTTGCAGACAGCTGAGCACAAGGACATCCCCGGAGGGTGGAACGCAAGGGTGCACTGTGCCCTGTGCACCTCTCCGTGAGCTGTTCATCTGTATCCTTTCTCATTTCCCCCATAGCAAATGACTATACCTAAGCAGAGTGTTCCCCTTAGATCTGTGACCTGTTGTAGCGAATTAATCAAAATGAAAGGGGGTGGGGGGTAGGAAATCCTAATTTGTAGGCTGTTGGTCAGATGTTCCAGAGGCCTGGATGTCCCACTGGCCTTTGCTGTGGGGGGATGTGGGAAATTGTAGAATTTAGTTATCTAGTTGTAAGAATAGATCACAAGAAGTTTGGGATCAGAGGACCACGACCCAATGACTCTATGGGTGGTGAGAGAGATACGACTCACTATGCACATCTGTGATGTTTGTGGTGGGCCGGTGGGCTTGATTTCAGCTGAAGTCGTCCTGCTCTTTTGATACTATCTGATAAGAAGAGGGCTGCGGTGTGCTCTTTGATGTACAGGATTGGTGAACAGAAATGGGGGACTTGTGAATTCCCTGTAGCTTTTATGAGTCACTTAAAGTCACTTGTCACCAGAGGTTAAAATCAGAAAGACGATAGCCAGAATAAGTAAGCTGCTTTCCTACATGTATAAAAGCCTTACTTCTTCCCTGTGTGATTGTTGAACAGTGTCAGAGGAAATAAACTGCTGCTCATCCCCCAGGCTGCCTTCTTTTCTTTCTTTAAAGGTTGGTGCTCCCTGGGGTCTCAGGTCTCCCTTTAGAGATAGATCACCAACAGGGGGAGTTTTTCAGGACTGAACCCTTAGCCTGTGGGACTTGGTGCTATCTCCAAGTAGATAGTGTCAGAATTGAGTTGTGAGAGGACAATCAGTTGATGTTTGTTGAGTTGGTTGTCAGTGAAGAAAAGTCCTCAGTATCAATTTAGTCATAGAAACGCAGGGTGTGATCACAACATATCGGTCATAGAAATCTGTGACCACAGCGCACGCTGAATATTTAAAACACCCCCCCCCTTCAGACACACCTCTCAGGGAGACCCAGTGTGTGCCTGCAGCCTAACTCAGACTGTCTGCCTCGTCCAAGTCCCTCCACACACCACTCGCACGTGCACACCTCTCGGACATGGGACAGACTATGGGTTGATGTTCCCCACCGCCTCCCCCTCAGGTTCTATAGTTGCAAGAGTGGCTCTCACAGCTCCAGGAAGCGCTTCATTCATGTTCTCTAGAACTTCTGTGCACTTTCTGGGGTGCTGTTGTCCAGGTGCTGCCACCTTTCACCTGCTCTGAGACTCTCCTGCCCTTGGTTCTTTTGGGATTTCCATGGAGGAATCACTGCATAGGCATGATTCAGGTAGTGTCAGCCCCCAGTGATTAAGTCAGTCTTCAGCCCCTCCCCAGTTCCTGAAGTGATGCGCAGGGATGAAATTCCAGTCGGGGTTGGTTTCCCAGGCAACAGCCCCTTTCTTACCATCCTTAGGGACTTTGCAAAAGTCACTTCATTAACAGAAACAGGGTGTTGAGGAAAGGAGCTTCTTGGGAATAATGACACACCTTCCCTGTTAGTTCCCTTATCATTTAGGAAATTCAGTGTGTTCTATAAGCTCTTTGCCATGAACTTGTAGAAGGATCAAATATATAGTTCTCTTTCTCAAAATGCAATACTTCAAATTTGATTTCAGAAAAATATGTCTTTATTTTTTTATTCTAGAATAGGGTGACACTTCAATCCATAAATTCAAGCAACTATTCCAATGAGCTGAGCACAGGAGGTGAGTTGTATAGACAGAGAAGGGCTGAAGGAAGCAGAAACGAAGCACAGAGAGCAATTGATCATTTCCCAATCACTTTTCTTGTAGGACAAGACAGGGAGACTGAACAACTGGAAAACAACCAATTAACATATGATGACTTTTTAACTTGGCTGTTGTCTCTCTCTCCTGACTTCCCTGAAGATCAGGTGACAGCTTGGGTTCAGTTGGAAACGTTAGTATGAGTGATTCCATGTTGGCTTTTAGTCTGGTCTGTTGGAGCTCAGTGCAGGAGATTAGTGCAAAACTAGGGCCCCTTGTAATTTTTATTTAAGAGTATAGATCACAAAGTCAGAAATAATGTGTCCTTGAGAATGTGATTTGCATATCAATAGAAGGATAAGTAACCCATTTGTATTATATTTATTAAATGCTACACGGAAAAAAATTTAAAGCTTTTAATAGTAACAAGAACATGGATGAATTTCACAGACGTTATCTTGTCTGTGAGGTAAAAATGCCAAGGAAATTATTCCATTTATATAAAGTTCAAGAATAAGCAAAGGTTATAGAAGTCAGAGCTATGGTTACCTGTCAGGTAGGGTGAATATTACTGGGACAGAGGAGGTGAATCCTGAGCTGCATGGAAATTATTGTATCTAAAATTGTCCCCTCTTATCTCTACTTTTGCTTTTGTGGTTCCATTTGCCCATGGTGAATTTTGTCCCAAAAATATTAAATGGAAATTTCCAGAAATAATTAAAAATTTTTAAAAATTGTGCACTGTTCTGAGTAGTCTGATGAAAATTGTACTGTCCTGCTCCATTCCGCTGAGAACATGAATCAACCCTTTATCCAGTGTTTCCACTGCTACCTGCTACCTGCCCATTAGTTACATAGTATAAGAGAGAATACATATAGTTTGTTACTGCCCTCATTATTAGCATCTCAAAATCTTAAGGGAGAGACTATTGTATCTGTTTCTTCTCATTTGTTCTCAGCTCAAAATAACTTTCATGCCAAAGTGGTGTATTTGGAGGTGGCCTATTCTGCTATCTACCAAAATATAAATGTTAAAACATTTGAGCTCACTAACTCATCATATACCACTTAAATAAGCTATACCTCAATGTGAATTTTTTTTTTTGTACTGGGGATCGAACTTGGGACCTTGTGCTTTTGAGGCAGGCGGCAGCACCACTGAGCTAAATCCCCGGGCCTCAACATGAAATTTTAAAACAATCTTTGGCAAATAATTAGTGCATTATGTGTATCATGATTTCTACATAAGTGAAAATCCTCTCTACACTTGGACTTAATGAGATTTTTATGACATGTAAGTAACTGTTTTCTATGTTTTCAACTAGAAAACCATGTGATTCCTGGGGACATGGATTTGACGTTTGAGAGTCAGCCAGACTATGAAGATGGGTAAGAAAGTGAAACCAGTGTTGGTTTGCAAAGGTAAACCCAGAGCTCTGTCCTTGGGAAAAGGCTACTGACATCCTTATGAGTGGTAATAAATATGTCCCAGTAGGATTAGCAGTGAAGCACTCCCTGACTTTTCACTGGTCTCTGTTATACACATTAAGATAGGTTCTTCTAGGAAAACTATCCCATGAGACCTAACCTAATGATGTGGAGCACAAATCAAGATTTAGTGATGTGCGTGTTATTGCATGCGTGACATAAATTGCCTACTCTGTAGCCTCTCATTGTGAGACCCAGGAAGTCACAGGAATCCCTTTTGGTTCACATACCACTAAAGAAACTCTTTAGCTTTCACAAATCAATTTAAGGATAGTAGTTTATTAATCAGCAGATGAATCATCACTAGCATGCAATACATGTGGGCAAGCAACAAGGGGATTGCTAATGTGAACTTAATGTGCAGCAATTAATAGAATTAGATTGAGGTCTTATGTCAAGCAGGGAGACATGGATGCCCAGTATAAGAGGTCCTGGGGCACAGATGTTCACATTTAAGATATCTGATTTCATTAAGAAACCTATAAAGCCAAGCTTCTATTAGCTACGAACCACATTTTTTAAAAGTCTTAGAGTGAATGCACAGGGGCATAGTTGATGTTTGCAGTGACACTGCCACTTGCTCTTTCTCTCTGGTCTTTTCACACCTGGAGGTAACAGAAGAATCAGGCTGGGCCAGACTGTGACATCTGTAAAGCTTAGAGCTCCTCACAGCGTCATCTCCTTTCCTTCACACATCCCTTCCCCACTACAACCCCAGAGACCTTCTGCTCTGTGAATTGATTTACTTCTGCTCATGAAGTGATGATTAGGACCACATTTGTTATTTTGTTAAACTGGAATGTTTTCATGGTAGTGTGTTTTATTTTTAACCCTTTCCTTGAGGAAATGTGTGTGTGTGTGTGTGTGCGTGTAAGAGTGATGGATAGATTTATATATACATCAGTACTCAGTATTTTGGATTCCATTTCTGTAACCCCACAGTAGATCAGGTTCTATGCCATCAGGCCCACGATGGCTGCATTTATACAAATATGTTGACTTTCTTTTCCTCATCATCATCCCCAAAACAGTCAGTATAACAACTACTTACATGGAATTTACATTGTTTTGGCTTTATCAGTTATCTAGACATGATTTATACAGCAGAATATGCATAGCTTATAAACAACACTATGTTTTATCATGTAAAGGACTGAAGCGACTACAGATTTTGGTATTTGCAGGGCATCCTGAACACTATTCTCAGGGACACTGAGACACAACTGTACTTCTTTGAAGGACCCTGATATTGATATGGAAGAAATATTACTCTCAACCTGTTAAATGCCAAATGTGCCAAGGTTGGGATCCCACAACATCAAGGAATGAAGTTGAGAACCAAAGGAAGAAGTTAGGAGAGCTTTATTGGAAATAAGTAGAGATGAATAGCTCCTGGGACCTTGTGCATTATTTCCAGGAGAGGTCTCAAATGAGGTTGCCACCAAGACCCTTTTTCAATAATTTATTTTTATTTTATTTTTTAATGGTAGCAAAATTTTATTAAGGGTAGGAAAAGAAACAGGCTATACAGAGCAAGTTTGGGCCAAGTAAAAGTAGAAAAATAAGTACACCCATGGCCACCATTCAAGAGTGAACACAGTGGCAAAAACTCAATATAGACTGTCCTTTTTGTATCATCCAATCCTCAGGTTGATGTTAGGTCTAGGCCATCCTATGGAAAACCTTGTGAAGTTCTCAAGAGAAGTCCATGTGCAGCATTTTAAGAACTGTTCTGTGCATGTGTCCAGGGATTTTGTAATTAACAGGTCACACCCACTACCCCAGCCAATTTTGCCACTCTAATCTGTCTCATTTCCCCTAGAGAGACATATATTCCCATAATTCTTTATGGGGTTCTGAGGGAGTGGAGGTCTCTGTCTTCTATAGCTTCTTCCAGATAGAAGGGGCCACAGACCCTATCTACTGGGGGTTATGTGCCATCCAATTACCTTCTGGTATTGTGACTCATTGGCTGGGTTGAAGAAAAAAAACCTAGAGCAATGCTGGAGTCATGGTTTCTGAAGGGGAGCCTCAGGTCTTCCAGAGGTTCTCAGGAATAGCTTCTTAGTCCTGTGAAAATTCTAGTGACAATTTCCCATGGAGGATTTTTATGTCTTGTCACTATGTTCCCTGAGGAGGTACCAGAATGTTTCCTCAGGAATGGGGAATAAGGCTAGGGTATTGAGGAGCAGTAGAATCACCCTTCTTGCTTCCCTATCAGCCTTTTGATTTCCCAAGGAGACTTTAAACATGTCTCTTTTGGATCCCTTGCAGTGAATGACAGAGACCTGCTTGGGAAGGTAGACTACCTCTAACAGTTGTAGAATTTGCTTCTTTTTTCTAGATTGCTGCATGAGCATGTAGTACCAGGAAGGCATATTTGGAGTCTGCATATTTAACTTCTTGCCTTTTCCTAATATCAGTGCCCAAATAAAAGCTATGAGCTCAGCTGTTTGAGCAAAGTTCCCTGGGGGAAGTTGGCCTCAATGACCTGTTGTGAACTGAAAACTACATAATTCCTTCAGTGAACCACACTTCTTCAAGGTCTTGGAGGAGCAGATCCCTGATGTCCTGTCTGCTTCTATAGATGTGGGTGATCTCTTGTTCACAAGAGTAGTTAACTTTTGGGGCTGTAGACATCACAGAGGCAGGATTAAGAGTAGTATAAGGGTTTGTTTTTTTTTTTTAACAACTTCAGGGGCGTCTAAGAGCATGGTCTGATATTTGACAAACCACTCCCCTGTTATCCACAAGTAACTTTTCATCTCAAGAATTGCTCTGACCCGATAGGGAATAAGGACTTCTAGTTTCTGTCCTAAAGACTTTGGGCTAAGGCATACAAAGCAATTTCTCTCTTTTCTCATGTGTAGAGGAAGAAAGGTTTTCTTAATTCAGGTATTCCATTGGGCCATTCATCAGGATCCATCTGTTTGCTAATTAGGTCATGGAAACCTGGTGTAATCCCAACAGATAAAATCCATTTTGGTTTTTGATAGAATTTGAGAATATCCCCCAATTTTGTTAGTAAATCTCTCTCTAACAAGGAAATAGGACACTGTGAAAAAATTAGAAACTCTTGATTAAACATTTGGCCTTCAAAGTGACACATCAGAGCAGGAGTAAAGAATTTCTAACTAGAGGTCCCCTGTCTTTTACTTTTCTCATTGCTGAGACAAAATGCCTGACCCCCAAAACTAAAGGAGGAAAGATTTATTTAGCTCACAGTTTGTAGAGGTTTTAGTCTAAATAGGCTGGCTCCAAGGCAGGGTGGCATCACAGAAAAGAAACAGTTCATGGTGGGCCAAAGGTAGCAAAACAATAAGGGATCTTAGCAGCTTCTTTCTGCTCCTTTAATATTCTCTCTAAGCTACCAGGATTAGGGCAGTTCCACACCAATCAATGTACTGATTTAGTAATCAGACACCCTTAATCCCAGCATCACACAGTCTAGATTCAGCCACCTCTGAAAAGCCCTACCTATGACCACATAAGGATTTCAGGGAACATCTAGACACAAACCATAACATTCCACCCATGGCCCCTCAAAGAGTCATATACATTCCTTTGTGTAAAAGGCATTTAGTCCATTTCTTTTCTTTTCTTTTTTTTTTTTTTTTTGGTACTGAAGATCGAACCCAGGTCCTCAGCTTGTGAGGAAGGTGGTGGAACCACTGAGCTAAATCCCCAGCCCATTTAGTCCATTTCTAAGAGTTGCCAAAGTCCTAACATTTTCAGCATTGCTGAAAAGTCTAAGTCCCCAAGTCTCCTCTGAGATTTAAGATAAACTCTTAGCTGTGAGCCCCTGTACAAATGAAAAGAAAATTAAACATTTCCAACATACAATGGCATAAGATAGACATTACCATTCCAAAAGGTACAAATAAAGGGATACAAAAGAATGGGACTAAAGCAAGACCAAAATACACAGGGGAATAAGTCCTATAATTCCATGTGCAGCATCTGATGCAATCTATGGCAAGATGTAAACTCCAACGAGCTTGGGTGGCTCTGCCCATACAACACTTCTGGTGGTGGTAGCTCCCATAGCTTCTTTCTTGGGTCAGCTCTCCTCCCTTTTTGCAGTTTTCTCCAGATGATCCACATTCCTGGATTCTCCAAATTTCTGGGGTCTCCAATGCACCTTTGGCTTCACACTCACAGCTTCACACATTGCTCTTTCAGGGGCATACTTCCTGGCATCCCAGACCTTCTTTGAAATCTGGGTGGAAGCCTTCCTGATCCTACAACTCTTGCATTCTTCATGCACCTAAAACCAGCACCACATGGATAATGCCAAGGTTGGCCACCATTTGGAGCAGTAGCCAGGCTTCCTTTTCTTTTGGGTGTAGGGGTCAAGTGCCTGAATCACTGAGCACTCTGAACCAAATCCTGAGGAACAAATTCTCTAGGCCACTACCATCCTGGAACATGGTGCTCTGGAGCGCTCTTTTCAAATCAAATTCTTTCACCTTTGCAACTCTGAGGCTGGAAAGGCTGATGTCCTACTGGTTCATGTGATGCCCTTGGGCCATCTTTTCTGTTGTCTTCTTCTGAAACACTTGGCTTTTCCTTGCTAGCCTTTTCAGTGATGAATTTTTCCTCCATTCCATCTTTGCAGGCCCCAACTTTATTGGAGCTTTCTTTCTAGCCAAACTCACAATATTTTGTTTTGTTTTGTTTTGGGGCACCAGGGATCAACCTCAGGACCTTGAGTTTGCAAGGCAGGCACGGTGCAACTGAGCTAAATCCTTGGCCCCAAACTCACAATATTTTGAATTATTCTTGAATTATTCTGCTGAGCTCTTTGGTTTTTTGTTTGTTTGTTTGTTTGTTTGTGTTTTTTATTGCAGTGGAGATTGAACTCAGGACCTTGCACTTGCAAGGCAGGCACAGTGCCACTGAGCTAAATCCCAGCCTGGGCTCTTTGTTCTTGATTCTCAACATAAATCTGGCTAAAACCACCCAACACTAACCAGGCCACTGCCTCAACATTAGATTGCCTTGAAATTTCTTTTGCAAGATTAATTAGTACACTACCCTTAATCTTAGTCTGCTGGGGTGGTGCCAGACCAATCAATGGACTGGCTTAATAATCATACACCCTTAATCCCAGCATCACACACTCTAGATTCAGCCACTTCTGAAAAGGCCCACCTATGACCACATGAGGCATTGTAGGAACATCTAGACACAAATTATAACATCTCCTCAATCCCAATTATGGCTGTTGATCTAGAGGTGAGTTTTGCAGAGAAGTAAGTCAAAACAGAATGAAGTAATTGAATTGGCTCACCCATGGAATCAAGTGTTACCCAGGGTTCCTTATAGGAGATGGTAATATCCACAGACAGGGGCATTGTAGGTTCCACTGAATCTCTTCAGGGCAGGAAATGATGGTTTTGAGTGGTCTAGCCCATGTCTGGGAGCAGGGACTGTCAACCCTTCAGTGCCATGAGTCAGGCACATTGGCTGCCTCATACTCAGAGTGGACTCCAGGTAATGGCTTGGTACAGTTGTATACTCAATGTCCAGTTTTCTTCCACTTAAAACAGGAACCTCAGTGGTCCTTGGGCTTTCGCTTAGGTTACCTTGGTGAGTGTAAAGCACTGTCAATTGTGACAGCTATAGTTTCAGCTTTTCTCTTTAAGCCTCCTCCAGCCTGATTGTTGAACACAGAAAAGGCCATGTCCAGAAATAGAGTCATAGATGTCTGGGGTCCCATCTGAAGTTTCTTTATTAAACAGAGGGGGCAGACCCATATATCCCTGGCAGGTGGGGATCCAATAATAGGTTTGTCTCTCTTCCTCAGGGGCCAATACCATAGTTTATGGGGTTTTCCTGAGGTAAAGGGCCACAACAGCCTGAATATCAGGGATTTTATTCCACCTTCTATGTTTTAAACAGAAATGATTTAACTGAAAAATAGTCTCCTAGTTTGAATTTGTCATCCCGTACCCATGTCTTGTCATTTCCTAGTTCATATTGAACTCAAACTGTATTGCAATAGTAGATAAGCTATCCCTTTTTATTGTTTTAATTGACAGGGTTTAACCTTTCCCAATGATCAAGGGTATGACCTAGTTGTAAAATCAGTGAAATCCTGGGCATAGTTCATGAGTTTTCCCATGGCTGATCTTGGGGCCTATGGAAAGAGACAATTTCATCTTGGATCCTTAAGATAGCATGTCATGCAGAGGGAGGAGATTTGATGAGCCCAAAAAACATTCCTTGTGAAACTCAAGTATTTAGTAGACAGATATCTCTGTCTGAAGTGCTGGCATCTTTCATAGAAGTATAGAAGAAAAGCCCTGCTAAGGGCTTTATGTCTATCTTTGGAGCCCCATTAATTCCTTAGGGAGAGGAGTTGAGCCACCTGATGGTTCTACCTAGTCTTTTCAAACTCCCATGAGATCAGGATGGAGCCTCTCCCTGCTGAGACCCCGTAGCCCCATTGAGCCACTTTTTGGCTTTGCTTAAGCAAGGTGGAGTCACTTGAGTAACAATACTTCTTGATTTAACCTCAATAGTAAAAACTTTTGTACTTTAAGACACTAGAGAAACCTCTTTTTAAGAAAAAAATCTTTTAAAATCCTAAGAAGGAGGATAATTCTACCTTTGACTCACAGTCAATTGAGTTAAACTTTATGGGCTGTTCTTTTGTTCTGCTCAGGCAATCAGGCATATGTTTCTAAATTACCTGCATTTTGTTAGCAGAAACAAGAAAGGGATGTAGAAAAACAAACATCCCAGTGGCTGACCCAAAATGGTGCCCAGTCACGTGACAAGGCAAGATGGCAACCCAGACTAAGATAGCACTCTGAAAAAGAAAAGAACAACTAGGGGAAAGGCACAGATGGGACTTTGAGCTCAAAAGAAGTAAACTGGGGTAGGTGGCTACTCAGGCAAGCTACCAATTTACCAACAGCTATTCTTTTCCCCGAAAGAATGAGAAAGTTCAGCAAAGTGTCACAGAGAACAGAAACATGGTGTCAAAAAGACACACTAAACTCACATGGTGGCTAAATGATCTGTTCTGCAACTGGCTTAATAACAGGCTCTCTGGCTGTTCTTAATGACTCTTATCTGCATTGAGTGACCAAAAATGGGAAAAAGAAAGAAAAGCGGAGATAAACTTCAAGCAGGCCCATAGCTGGAAGAAAACCACAGAGGCCAAGCACCCTATGATAGGAAAAGGAAGAAATAGCTTCCAGTGTCACAAGAAGAGTCTCCTGAGTCCCCCAGCCTAGGGGAGAGAGACAGGGAAAGAAGAAAGAAAGACCTTTGTGACATGTTAGAGAGAAACTGTAAAAAAAAAAAGTCCCCAAAGGGCCTTACCTGCTCTCCTGGCTGGCTAAGCCAAATACGTTAACAGGTTTTGGGGTGCTGGAGTCTCCTTCAAGAAGTGGTTTCTAGGTTCTTTCTCCCCTGAGCAAATAATTGGTCAAGATAAGCACAAATGGTAGCAAAGTTTTATTGAAGATAAGAAAAGAAACAGGATCTTCAGAGCAAGTCTAGGCCAAGTAAAAGTAGGAAAAATAAGTACACTGTACAGCATGAGGGTGGCTCACCATGCGAGAGAAAACACAGCAGCCTCGGGGGTAATTTATTCAGCAAAGCCACAATATTGGTACAATGTGGCTCATACTGCCATCGACCTATAAGATCACAAGTATAGCTGCTTAGCTAATATTGACCCAATAGAGAAATGAGTCATGTAGCAAGGGTACATGGAAAGAGTATACAATGCATTTTTGGGAAAGGATGGGTCCAGATGTTCTGGTCACCCACCCACCTAGACAGTGATGCTTGTGTAGATTACTGGACCAGGTGGTGCTAATTACAATATAATCTCAACTTATTCTTTATCCCTTAGGGATACATGTAGGCCTGGCTATTGCATCTTTATCTAGAGGCCTGTCCTTCTTTAGATGTACTTCCAGCCACAATTCTGATATGTTCATATTACTGTTGACATCCTTGAGAGCCCAGTCCCTCCCTGACTGTTTATTTATATCTAGCTAACTTAGCTGCCTGTAATGATATCAGCAGGCAGATGAGAGGAACAGCAGAAAGCACTGGGCTCCACAGGGCCCTGCACTTCTATCAGAGCTCCATAGTGAACTCACCTGTCCATTTGGGTGGGCCTTTGCTTTTTGGGTTTCTCCCCTGAAAATGAAAAGGTGACTCAGAACCTCTCCAGGGCCATTTAGGTTCTTGTCTGCTCCTGAAACTCTGGGATACCTGTGTGTCACCAGTGCCCACTGCTCAGCCTGCAGGAAATAAATGTCACTCAACAGGGAAATGTCCCCAAAGGAAGAAGCTTTGTTCTTCCAGACACTGCTATCCTGTGAAGGTGAAGCTCAACTAAGCTAACAAAGACCCATTAATACTGTGTCCTAAGAAAATCTAGGGGAGAGAGGGCCTGGCCCTGTACCCCAGTTTCTTCCACAAGGGACCAATTCCACTTGTGGTGCCACAGAGAGGTGGCCAAGTGCCCAGGAGAATCTAGAACATTGGTCAGCATTCATCTTGACCTCTGAGTGTACAGCTCCCCAGAGGAAAGAGGGCATGGCCATAGGAGCCAATGCCAAGTTAAAGTGGAGAAAGTTTTACACAATTTGACCCTGTCCTCCCTCTGAGTCACTTCTACATACAGGACTCCCTGGCCCTGCCCAACACCTGGCCTTGTCTTCCTGCTCTGTTTGCCAGATGTGTCCCTTAACTGGCCTCACATTCTTTATCTTGTGCAGGATCCTAGCATCACTTCCCTCCTGCAGAAAGTGTTCTTGTTGCTCTGGGCAAGCTTGAACATGTCTTCATGGCTCTCAGGACAAATCTGCCTGCCCAGTCTGTTCAGCCAGTGCTGAGATTTCTCCCAGTGTCCTGTCTACAACCCCCAAATACACCCTTGTCTATTCATTGAAACAGAGGTTTCCTCCAAAGCTTGAACTTCTCAGCGACCTTATGGGACTTTTCAGGGGACATTTTAAGGAAATGCTGAAAGGTTTAATGTTGGAACTAAGAGAACAACCAGAAGCCACATGGTTCAGTTGAAGAGTTGGACTTCCCATCTGGAAATCTGAAGCCAAATAGTTCTTTCACTCATTCCCACAGGGAGGAAGAGGATGCACCTCCAGAGGCAGATGTAGGACAAGATGGAGAACTGTCTGCCGAAGAAATAATTTTTTTGGAAATGTTTCCTGGGTGGAAAAAACAGCAAGAAAAGTTGATCGCAACACTTCATGCCTTTGCAAAGGATGCTGATAAAATCTCCAGAAAATTCACTGAGAAAAATGTGTTGAACAAATCTGTCACTGTTGTTGCTGAATTGGTGAGCATTGTGGGTTTAGCCCTAGCTTCAGCAAGTGGAGGAATAGGCCTGCCACTCGCAGTTTTTGGCCAAAGTGTGTCAGTGTTAGCTGCTTTCCATAGTATTCTGACAAAGTTGAGAGAAAACTCTCGCAATGAAAAACTCCTTGGTCGGGCAAACAGCAAAGTGCCTAACCCTGATGAAGAGTTTGAGGACCCTGGTGGAAAGAAGACAGCCTATATCACGGCTGCTGGCCAGGCTATGTACAAGTGTGGTAGAGCCTGGGATGTTATCAGCAAACACACCCATACCCTTTTTCCTAGCAAGGCCCTGTCACACGTGGCACAGAGGTCCTTAACAACATCAGTACTGCCCATTGAAAAAGCAGTTGGCATCTATGGCGGTCCCTCAGCTTTCATGTCTCTTGCTGGGGATGTATACAGTCTCTGGGATAACTGGAAGAAACTGAAGAATAAAGAAAAGGCTGAGCTTGCAGAAGATTTAAGAGCTCGGGCTGAGGAGCTGGAAGAGGAGCTGACACGGAGGACCAAACGCTATAACACACTGAAAAAAAAGGTGAGGTCAAGATTTTGGAAGTAGGGTAAGAGGGGATCCTCTAACTGGGACCTGAAGGAGCCAAGATTGACAGAAAGAGGTGAGAGGAGCCAGTGTGTGTGGTGTAAAATGTGCATGGATGAGCTCCAGTACATAGCATTAGGTGGCCCTAGAAGTACTAATAGTGAAGGACACTATAGGGCTGAGAGTGCTATCGTGGTCAGGCCTGATCACATCTCCTGCTCCTTCCTCAAGGTACCTTCAAGCCTATGTACTGGAAAGAGGCTCTTCCAGAATTTACAGAGGAAGTCACTGGGCCTTAGCCAGTGCTCTGACCTGCACTGTGCCTCCTCTCATTCCTGGGTCAAAGCCTTGACATTGTGTGACTGTGTTAGGAGGTGGGGCCTCTGGGAGGTAATTAGTGTTTGCAGTTCATAATGGCGGAGCCCACATTAGACAAGACTGATGTACATAACAGTGCATACAGACATTTAAGAGGCCTCCTCATACCCCCATGGGTCCACCCAGAGCAAAAGCCATGTCAGGAAACAGTGAGAAGCAGACATCTCCAAGCCCACAAGAAGAAAAGCCCTGTCTGGAAGCAAACAGACTGGCACCTTGGCTTGGCTTTTCACCTGCAGAAGTGTGAGAAAATGAGTCTGTTCTGTCAGCCACTCTATCTGAGCCTTTCCGTATGGAAGCCCAAGATGATCAAGGGAGGGAGTTTGTGTGGCTGGCCAAGTATCTTAGACTGTTCAGTCTGGTACAACAAATTACTTTTAACCAGGTCATCTGTGAATAGCAGATATTTATTCCTTACAATTCTGGAGATTGGCAAACCCACAGTCAATGCACCAGCAGCACCAGGCTCCAAGGGAGGGGAGGGCTTCCTCTCTTCTCCAAGAAGGTGCTATCTTGTGGCATCCTCATCTGGAGGAGAGGGAGACAAGCTCCCTGGGACCTAATCCTGATCATAAAGGATCCACCTTCATGCCTTAATCACTTCCCAAATTCCTTACCTCCTAAGTCATCACCCTGGGGATTAGGTTTTGACCTATGAATTTAGGCAGACATTAATATTCAGACTTAGCATTAAGTTCCTAAAGCTAGGTTTGGTGCACTCAGGACTCAGCCTGCCATTGTCACTGGTGTTTATCTGCCACTCAGTGACACATCTCGATCTTTGGGGCTTCTCTGGGACAGATAATCTTTTCATGTCTTTCTTTTTAAAAATTAACTGGCATACATTAATTGTACTATGTTCATTTTTTCCCCTCTAGAAAGAGTTAAGAGAAAAACGTCTTAGGAGGTCATCTTTGAAGGAAGCCAAGAAGACTCAAACTCAGCCTCCATCCAGGAGTGGGAAAGCAGGATCCTGGGGTTCAAGAAAAATGAACACAAACACCTCTGAGATGAATTAAAGGGTCCAGAGCAGGAGCAGCACTGCTGGCTGACGAGATGGAAGGAGATTCACCAACTGGGAGGTCCTTTAGACTTGGCAAGGGAGAGTTCAACTTAAGAGAGCACTGCCAGCCTGCCAGGTCCACTGTCTCTCCTTACTCCCTATCATTTTAGCGTGGTTTCCAGCCACCAATCCCTTTTAGACTAGTGATGTTTTCTGCCAGCCTTTTATAGTAAGTGATAGTAATAAGATGGAAGGTTCAGGAAAAGGTCTTTTCATGTTCTGCTCCATAGGGACATACTGGCCTCTCTGCTACCTTCCTACCTATTCTGTGGAAACCACTGGCTCATGACCAGGTTTGCTCACTGTTACTAGACTGTTACTAGAACCATCCCAGCCAAATCCAGTGGGAAGCAGAGTAGCCCAGCAGCCACTCTGTTCCCCCAGGACCCAAGTCCTTGGCCCTGCTTAGGAACCTCACCCTTATACAGGACTTCTGCACGCCCTGTTTACCTCCATTAGAAATATTTTTCCTGGGCAGGGGATTTAGCTCAGTGGTTCCACTGCCTGCCTTGCAAGAGCCAGGTCCCAAGTTTGATCCCCAGTGCAAAAAAAAAAAGAAAGAAAGAAAGAAATATTTTTCCTCTAAGAAATGGAGCTATTAGAGATGCGGGAGAAGGAAAGGGGAATGGGAAAAAAATGATGAAAATAAAGCTTTTGCGAATGTGAAGAGGATCACCCATTGCAAGGAGCAGGGAGGGAGGGGAAGGACAAGAGTTAAAATAAAAAAACAGCAAGCAATAGAGAAAAGAATTAAGATCTATTATTACCAACTCCCCACAATAATTATAATCATTATGTACTGCAAACATGTACTAATAAAAAGAAATAAAAAGAAAAAATTTTTCTCATTAATACTTCAGCTGCTATTGTGAAAGTCATGCGTGACAATTACACTTTTAAAAGTATGGGAATAACACAGCAACCCAGGATGACAATGGTTTGTATTTTTGCATAGAATTTTCTTCTGTTCTCTTTCTTACTTTGGGGGTTGTCTTAGTCACTTTGTTATTATCATTGGAACCCAATACTCAACAACCCCAATTTAAAGGAAGAAAGGATATTTTGGCTCATGTTTTTAGTCCATAGTTTGCTGACTCCATGGCAGGAAGGCACGGTGGAAAGGCCTGGGTGCAGGAAAGCTGTTTACATTATTACAGTCATGAAGCAGAGAGAGTGAAGAGAGAAGTCGAGCTGGGAGAAATAACTTTCCAGGTAATACCCACATTGACCCACTTCTTCAGAGCAGTCCCTTCCTTCTAACAGCCAATCAACTAGAACACTCCCATAATCCAATCACCTTTCAAAAGCCCCACATATGGGTGCATTAGGTTTTGCAGGGAACATGTAGATGAAAACCATAACATTCTGTGCCTGGAACCCAAAAAGCTCATTGCACCTTTTTATGCAAAATACATTCAGTCCAACTCTTTAACAGTTGCCAAAGTCCTAACAGTTCCAGCATTGCTGAAAAGTCTATGTCCAAAGTCTCTTTTGAGAAAACTCTAGGCTATGAGTCCCTGTAAAAATCAAAAAGAAATTTGAACACTGCCAACATACAAAGGCACAGGGTAAACATTCCCATTTCAAAAGGGAAGAATATGAGACTAGAAACCAATGGGACCAAGCCAAGACAGAAACCTAACAGGGTAAAGATTAAATTCTGTAGCTATGTGCCCAGCCCCCAGGGCAAGCAGTGATGATGAGATGGGAAAGCCAAAGGGTTTTAGCAGCCCTGTCCCTATGGTATTGGTGGTGGTTGTGGCCCTCACGTTTTCTATCTTGTGCTGGCTTTGCTCACTCCTTGCAACTTTTCTCAGACATTCCATATTCCTGGCCTCTGAAACTTCCTATAGTCTCCATGGTGTTTTCAACTTCACTCTGACACCTTTATGCACTGCCCTCTGAGGACAACACTGTGTGGCATCCCAAGCCTTCTTGTGAAATCTGGGAGGAAGTCTTTCTGACTCCACAATTCTTTCATTCTGCATGCCTGTAAAACCAATACCAGGTAGATGATTCCAAGATTGCTACGAGTTTAAGAAGTTAGGCCTTCTCAAACCATGGATGTAGAGATCTCTGAGTATCTAGATGGCTGAGAACCATGAACCAAATCCCAGGGAACCAATTCCCTTAGTGGCCTTTCTCAAACAGGAAGCACCGGGGCTGCCTTCTCAAAGCAAAGTCTTATAGCCTTGCACCATTAAACCTGCTAATGGAGGGGTTCTTGCTGATTCCTGACATGCCCTCAAGCTACTTTTCCTATTGTCCTGATGGGAAGTTCTTGGCATTTTTAAACTGCTAATTTTCAGCAACCAATCTCTACTATGCTCTATCTTTGTGGGAACTTTCTTTCTGTCAAAACTGAAAATTTTTGCCCCGCAAGCACAAGGACCTGAGTTCGATCCCTAGTACCAAAAAAAAAAAAAAAAAAAAAAAACTGAAAACTTTTTAAATGGGCTTTTCCCCATTTTGTTTGTTACAGTATGTCTCACTAAAAGCAGCAGGTAATAGCCATACTATTGATTAAATCTTGGGTTGCCTTGAAATTTTCTCTGCCAGTTTAATTAGTGCACTACCTTTAAGAGTTTCCTGAAAAATCTTAGGACATGAGCAAAATATAGAAAAATTTTCCAACAGAGATTAGCACACATAGTTTGGAGTCCAAATGCCAATGGAGTCTTTGTTCCCAAATGAAACATTGGAGCCTGGTCTTTATCATCTGTATTTCTTTCAGCATCTGGTCTTCTGACCAGATTCTTCCATCAAGCTTGGTTTATGGCATTGTCAGGCTTCTCTCTAGCCAGCATCTCCAAACCTTTCCAAACTTGTCCCGTGAACTACTCACCAAGGGTTCTGAACCATATGATCAGATAATGTCACAACAACGACTCACTTATTGTACCAAAATCTGTCTTAGTCACTTTCTCATCACTGGTACACAATACCTCACACCCAAAACTTAAAGAAGATATTTATTTTGGCTCACATTTTTTGTCCAAAATCAGCAAGCTTCAATGCAGAAAGGCATGGTGAAAGGCCTGGATGGAGAAAATCTGTTCACGTCATTACACCCAGGAAGCCAAGAGAGTGAGGAGAGGAGATGAGCTAGGAGATATACCTTTCCAGGACACACCGTATTGACCCACCTCTGCAGAGCAGACTGCACCTCCTAACAGCAAGTCAGCTCTAATGCCCTCATCATCTAATCATCTTTCCGAATCCCTCCCCATAAGTGCATGAGGCTTTGAGGGGGATCTAGATATTAAACCATAAAAGGTGTTTAGGTGCTGAGTTTCTGTATTAGATGTCATGAGACTATCTGATGGGCACCTCTAGCTAGGCTACTTGTAAAATTGAGTTTTTCTTCTCCCTAATTCCCAACCTCCCTCTTTTTCCCAATTACCTCATTTCCTATAGATCTATAACTTTGTATCTTGCTGTTTTCAAATAGCAGAATGTTCTACCATGGAAGGCTTTACTTGTGTAAGCATGTTTTTCAGTTGCAAAATATTTTCTTGACTCTGTGAACAAATGTCAGTTGGGCAAAGATTAGTCAGCACTCTTTCTGTTTGAATTGTCCAAATCCAACTCTAAGTGCCTTCCACAGCAAAAGGAATTCTTTAGCACTCATTTTCACCACGATAGAGTTAAGTGGGTGCACAAGTATGTGGATCCACAAAACGAAAATGTCATCAAGGCCTCTGTCTTTCCATTTCACAGACAGGCTTCCTCCATGTGCTAGCAAGAATTGTAGCAGGCTGCTTCCTGCTCAGCAGGAAGGGGCAAAGCCAGGTCCACTCTGATCAGCCAGAACCTGTTCCATCCTTTTCCTGAACAGGAGCTTGGAATGGGCTATAGCAACCATCTGGAAAGAGAAAGTAAATCAAAAATGAAAAAGCAACCAATGTTGCATTATTTGCCTCTTCCTTTGGCTGAACATTTAGATGACTTCAAAAACTTTGTTATACATAGTAGAAAGTGAACACCCATAAACAAAAAAAAGTTTTTGTAATGATTACTAAGCTTTTTTTTGTCCTCCAAAGAATCCTGATCTGAGCTACCTACATTAAAGAACAATCTTCTAAACAGAAATGACGGTTCTCCACACACATACTGAATTAAGAAATTTGGGAACTCTTTTTTAAGGTGCAGGGCAAATAAGGCACTCAGAGTTTTACACAGCAATCTGACCACCTTTGTCTATAAATATAAATCTTGTTCTCTAGAGATTTTAAATAAATGCTGTCCCACACCCAGACCCTTTTATTTTCTGCTTTTGTTGCTCTCATTTTCTGTCATACATACTTCATAAGCAGAACCACAGACAGTTTCCACTGCATTTAATTTTTTTGTCTAAGTTTTTGAAACTCCTTCAAGTGTATGAGGAGTACTAGAGTTCTGAATAACTCTTGTCAGTAATAATACTGAGACAGAATAAAGAGAAGTATAGTTAGCGAGGGGATGAGAAAAATCCTAATTTTTAAATTGTATTTTAATGAAAAAATACAGTTTCAGGACACAACATTGTTCAGGTTCTTTCCTTTTGAGGAAGCTTACTAAAAATCTTTTTTCTATGGATCTTAAAGACACAGCAAGACTGAGTCCTGCTTTTACCTGTAAATTGTGCTTCCTTCCTGACAAAGCTGGCAGCATATCTCAGCCTCGACATATGCAAATGGTTTGCTTTCTGAGGAAGCACACCACCTGAGCTACCTGACAGGCACTGAGTACACATCCTAGATCACTCATTTTTGGGACAAATCCAAGTACACATAAAAAAAACTTCCCAACTTCAGACCATAATGCACCTCTCTTTTAAGGTCTTGTACTTTATTATGAGTGTTTACCTTTTGAATTTTGCCTAATAGACCTTGTTATGCCTCTCAATGTCACATCTTCAAAATTCTGTTTTCTAGGATAAAGTCAGCAAACCTATAACCTCCCATATGGGTGTGATTTGAGGTCTTCATCTCTGCTTTGGGGCACTTTCCAAGACACATGAGGAGGCATAATATTTTCATGAGCACGAGGTTTTGTTTATTTTGTAGACTGGCTGGGAGAGGGGAAACAGGAGAATGATCTAGAGAATGGGGCTCCAGGGTCATCTCTGAGTCTTGCTGGACTCCCCTTCTGGGGTGCGGTTTCCTAAGCCATGAAATAACTGTAACCTAAATAAAATCCAGGACTGCATTTGGACCAGGAATATAAAGCCCATTCCCAGGGACAACAGTGTGGGTAAAATACCCTTGATAGAGGTTCAAATCCTTGTTGAGCTCATGGGTGTGTCTAGCCTGTGGCCTGCTGGTTGGATATGCCTGTGTTATAATAAAAAATACTTTAGGAAGTTTTTTGTTGCTTAGATATATTCATTCTATTAAATATTTTACATGTGGCCCAAGACAAGTTCTCTTCATTCAGTCCTGAATGGGCAAGCCAGATATCTTTTGGGTTTTGGGGGGAAAGACAGTCTCACTATGTAGCTGTGGGTGGCCTTGAACTCAAGGCAATCCTTCTGCCTCAGTCTCCCAAGTGCTGGGATTACAGGCATGTGCTCCATGCCCAGCAAGCCAAATGTATCTTACTCTAGGGCTGGACTTTGGACACAGAATTGGGCCACATTTTAATTGAATTTTTTACTTTTAGAGGTGCCACCATGCTGTTTTCCACAGCAGCTTTACTATTTTTCATTCCAACAAATAGTACAGAGCTTTCCAGTTTTCCACATCTGCAGCAACACTTGTCTCTTTCTAGAGTTTTTGTTATTTTGCTTTTTACACAAGCCATCCTAAT